TGAGAATTCATTCGCAACTACCGTTGGAATGTGGACTAGTTTATATTTTATGTAGAGCGCGGACTTGTCCGATTATGCAAATTATTTCATTACACACGATTTCGCGGATTGATAATTGACTGTGTAATACGCCGCCAACATTAATGGTTTAATAATGCTTCCCAATGAATGGATTATGATAGTGAGTTCATTATTATATATATGAGTGTAAACAGCTCACAAGATTAATTTACTTAATGCAATGATGACATGGTATTAAAGCAGCCATTCCATAAACATGATATATATATATATATATATATATATATACATATATATATATATATATATATATATATATATATATATAAATGGAAAGCTTATGACCTCAGGAATGTGGAGACAACTATTTCAAATTTAATTAAAGATAAAGGTGGGTTCTGGTCATTCGATTGCATTGTGAAAGAAAAGGTGTGGAATGGATCAGAAAAAGTAGATCATGTAGCATGTAAGTATTGGTGTGTACTGCAAAGTCATCAAAATCATAATGAATTTGGCCCAGTCTTGGTAAAGTAACAAACACTGTACACAGAAAGATGTATATGGGACTACACAAATGGTGTCGGGGGCCACTAACCTTGATTTCCTAATCTTTCTATGCTCATTACTCAGCGAGTATAAATTTTCTACCAAAATTGTTTGGCAAATCACATTTATTTGTAATCCTGAACATTCAGTGTAATTTTCGTTTGATTCTGTGAGAATTAAGTTTCGTTTTTGTTTACCAGAACTCACAAAAGAAGGAATTTTCTTAAGTTCATTTTCTCGCCCAAATAGAACTGATAAAACTCCCCATAAACATTTGGTTGACATGTAAATTTAAATTGCTTTTGTCACCCCTGACCAGCAGATTGTATCCTTCTCTCTATCTCCTCTCCACTTTCCTAAAGCTGTTTGAATGTATTATGAAATGTCTATGTATTATCTGATTGTTATACTCACTGTATGTTTTTCCGATTGGTCAAATAAATAATAATAATAATAATAATAATAAACACGTATTTATAATTCAAAAATTACAATCATTTGAAATATTGCCTCCTTTCTGGCTTATTTTCCATCATGTTTTTTTTTAATAATAAATCATTAAATAGGCCTAATGATAATAATGATGATAATATGGCTGATATCGATCGTCTAGCGTTTGTTGATACGGCGTTGTGTTAATCCGGAAGTGGCCTTACTTCAATCGCCCACGTATCATTAAGCGCCCAGTTTGTATGATTTCGGTTTCGTTTATGGGGGGGGGGGGGGGGGGGGGGGGGCTAGCCAAGATTCAGTTTTAAATGTCTGATTGTGGTCACATATGTATTGTTAGGGGAAAGAATGACATGGTTCACTTTCTATAAACCTGTAAATCATGACCTTGCATTTGACATGCGATGTCTATTCTAATCAACGTCTATTATATAAGTTAGAAAAGAAACCAGTGAAGTAGTGAGAAACTATATAACCACTTGCCTCTTACATGAGAATAACATACATTGAAAGAAAACCACAAACAGATTATGAAGTATGATTGATTTAGTAATAGACTATATTGTTCAAGTGACCTCTAATAATAAATATTGTGTCGTCATTGAGACACTTGACATATATACACGTACATGTATACTGTACAAACATAGGTACACGAATCGGTATGAAAGTAAGTTAGAAAATGTGTTAAACAAGGGCACACACAAAGGGCTATACTTTGAAATTAAAGGGATAATATGAACAAAGGGAACAGATTATACAAATTCTACACAATTTAAAAAATATAAGCATAATTTGATCATAATATCATTTATCGATATGTGATTAACATTAGCCAGACCCCTTTCCTGATCTTGTTATGAGTGATGGCTCTCTCAGTTGTTGTGCTTCTGTGCGTGACCTTGGTTTAAATATTGACAGCAATCTTACTTTCAAACAACACATTAGTAATATTTGTAAGTCTGCTTCCTTTGGTATATATAAGATCAGTAGAATCAGGAGGCTACTTGACCGACCCACAACTTCAAAATTAGTCCATGCTTTTGTCTCGACCCATATCGATTACTGTAATTCTTCTCTTTCTGGCCTCCCTCAGTCACATCTAGTCCCACTTCAAAGGGTACAGAATAGCGCTGCTCGGCTTGTGACTCTCTCGCGTAAATCAGAGCACATAACTCCAATATTGAACTCACTACATTGGCTTAAAATTCACCACCGCATATCCTTCAAAATTCTTCTCCTGTGCTACAAAGCTATCAATGGCTTAGCCCCCTCTTACCTTTCCGATCTCATATCCTTACGTTCCCGTACGTCGTCACGAACACTTCGTTCATCTTCCACATTACTGTTAACACCTGGACCCCGCACTAACACCCGGTATGGTGACCGCGCCTTTTCAGTTATTGCCCCCGCTCTCTGGAACAAACTGCCCGCCTTTATTCACTGCGCCCCCTCTGTATCTCAATTCAAATCTCTACTCAAAACCTATCTTTTCAAATTGTAAATTGCAGTTGTGCGTCGGTCAATGGAGGTGCGCACCATATTTGTCTTTATTCGGTTGATTGCCACTGTTTTTCTTACCTTATCTATGTTACTTTTGTATTTTTGCTCTGTCTTCTAATTTAATTCTACGGGTTATAGTCTTCTCTTAATCAGAACACTGTGCGCTTAGAAACATCAGTATTAAGCGCCTAATAAATGTTATGTATTATTATTATTTATTATTATTATCATGCACACTAATCGATCAATAATGAATTGTTTGTTTTGAATTGAAATGACAAGAAGAGATTTGCTGGCAATATACATTGAGGATAATAACAGCTTTGATATGCCATATTTTTAGAATGCAGATACAACATACATGTCTCTATAAAGGGTAACCAGGAACATCATTAAGCCTAATTTAATTATGAGGTCGCGTGTTGTATATTTTTTTAATGACCTTTTGACGTTTAATACTCTCTATATAAAGGGTTCATTCCAAAAGGAGCTAAATCCACTTTGGGTACTTCTGAGTAAATCGCCTTTTTTTCTTCTCCACTTTCCCTTTAGCCATGTACATGTACCTTTATGTTGTTATATATAATGTTAAAGGTGACCCAGGACCAATAATATATATTAAGAACAAATCTATTATTTATTATTATCTAAATGTTAAGATTTTTATTTTTGTATATTTAGCTCCTTTTGGAATAAAACATGTTATTCCAACAAATAATTTAATTGTATGCAGTTTTCAACCAAAAAAAAATAAATAAACGTTATTCTCATATCCTCTCCCCCCCCCCCCCCCCCCCCCCCCCCATATCCTCTCCCCCCCCCCCCCCCCCCCCCCCCCCCCCCCTCTCCACCACCCCCCCCCCCCCCCCCCCCCCCCCCCCCCTCTCCTCCTCGTTCTCTCTCCGTTCCTCTCGCTTCCTCCTGCTTGCTCTCTGTCCATTCCTCTCAATTCCCCTTTCTCTATCTCTCTCTCTCTCGTCCAATTTCTTTCTCCCCCTCTACCCCACTTCCTTCGCTCTCCCTCTCATTATCACTTTCTCCCTCCTTCTCTCTCTCTCTCTCTCTCTCTCTCTCCTCTCTCTCTCTCTGTCTCTCTCTTTCTCCCTCCTAGTCCTACAATACCACTTTACCCATTGGTTCAAATACTAGGGAAATTCAGTTCATTGTTCTTTATGTTTGCAGATAGTGAGCTATATATTTTTCTTGTTCTAAATCTTACTTTTACTCAATTTGCAGAGGAATACATTGAATTATGAAAAGTTGTACACATCAAATTATCGTAAAAATAGCAAAATGCATCTTTATTTCTCTTATGCTTCATCAAATCATACAACAAAACCAAAAAGAAAGTATCGTACAAAAGGAATACAAAAATATTGCACTTGAAAAACAACTATACAAATGATGACTGTCATATTAATTATTTGCAATACAAAACAAAGTGACAATTCTTTTCCTATCCATATACACTGCATATACACTGTCATAATGTAATCTGTTTAATATTTCACATGACCATTCAGAGAGTGGTCTTACACAAATTACGGTACATGTACTTGGAAGACAATGAAGTATTTGTGTGCATCATCACTTATTCAAAAATAAAAACAATTAACAGAAAGTGCAATTGACCTATAGTTCAAGAGATTCCATTTCTTACATAACCTGTTATTAAAATTCATTATTTCACCAAAAATAAATATCATCACCTTTTTTTTGTTTACTTGAATTTGGGAATAGATACATGAAGGTGTAATGAACAAAAATAAGTATGTAAGAAGAGCGTAACTTGATCTTGATAGATGATACTGCTCCAAGTAAACCAATCTTTTTTTACTCTGTTTTTAATTTCAGAAACAAGCCATATACATTTATTTCAAGAGTTTTTGGCCTTATTTCAGAACAAGCTGGTCAAAATGGAAGACTTAATGATGTAAACATGACGAGCTAGGTCACTCAGCCTCTGAATATTCAGAACGATAAAGTGTGACTGATCTAAATATCCTTAAAAATATGGATAAGCCTCTGATATTAAAAATGTACAATGTAGATACATACACATGGTGGTTCCCTCTTTTACAAAGGTATATTGACAGAATGAAAATTGCCTTTGAAAAGATTTACTTTCCTAAAAGATTTTGTCCATGTGTACATAAAGTATTATCTTCCAAGTCCTCAATTGATTAGATTTCAATTTAACAATTTCTGCATCACTTCTGTCTGCTTTTTAAATTCTACTGAAAGATGGAAGGGTAGCCATTACTTTTTAAATGGGATTAGATTTAAAAAACTTTGGTTACTTTTTCTTGGCATCAAAAGATGCTCTTCTAAGGCGTAAGAAGGGCATGAACATACAGTCAAACCGCTCAAGGGAAACACAAAAAGTGGTCTTTGGAGACAGGTGTTCTTTGTAAACAGGTTCCTTTAGTACATGTTTCAATGAGAAATAATTTTTTAAGGGAAACAAAAAATGGGGTCTTTGTAGACAGGTGGTCACTAAAGCAGATTTGACTGTACACATGTACATGTATTCTTCAGAGGATCATTGAGTACCCATGATTGCTGGGTGATTGCCCACTCTCCCTTCATACATGGAGATGAGGGTGTCCCACTGACCGGGTTTGCCTTCTCTCCTCACCGGGGGCAACACGGGGTGAGTAGCACATTTGGGGAGGGGGTAAAAGGCCTGAGCATGCCTGGCTTTCTCCTTCTGCCTTGAGACATTCGCCCTTGCATCCATGACCCTGTCGTTTTGTTCCTGCGCCATTCTTGTGTCGTGAGCCGCTTTCTCGACAGCAACCTGGGCTTGTCGCATCAACTGGCGATGCTCCAGGTATCTATGGACCAGTTCTCTTTGACTCATCTCATGCTTGTGCTCGGCATGGGCAAAGTCTTCTTTCTCCTGCAGGAGCTTCTCGCCTCTCGCTTGCCTATCATGGCGCAGCAATGCATTGGATATAGACGTGTGCTGACTACCGAATTCATGACTGAACGTATTCTCCTTGCGCACCCGACCCTTGATCTCAGAATCCTTGCTTCGGAGCTCACGCCTCTTTTCAAGTTCGTCAATCTCTTTGTTTGCTTGTCTTTCATAAGCATGTGAAATGTTAGTGATCTCCTTATCGCGTTTTTGCATGGCTTTCAAGCGTTTTTCTTCCAGGAAGTCCTTTGCTCTCAGTTTGCCCTCTGTTTTCTGTTCTCGGATCATAGCTACCTTGTCACTCTTGGCTGAATGCTTGTCCGATGTCTCTCGGTCTCGATATGCCTGCATGACAGCTTTCAAGCTTGACATTCCCATCGTTCCTTGGGCTCTAGCAAAGAGCTTTTGATCAGCATTCATCGGTTTCTTGTGGACAGGCTTACGGGGTGGTTCTGTTGTTCTCATTTTATGCGTGAAGGCTGCAGCTAGTCCCATCCTTACGTCTTGACCTGCCTCTCGTTTTGATATAAGAATGTCTTGCACCGGGTCCAGCCTGTGCACAGCTGGTCGCAATCCGGCCAGTCTAAACTTGACCACAACAGGTTCTTCATCGTCAGAATATTCATCTGAAGAGCGTTCCCTCAATAACTCACTGTCTGACAATGCGCGTAGCATCTCATGGACAGTCCTAGACTTCTTCCTCTTTGTCTGCTTCACTTTCGGTTTGCTTGGTTTTTTGTATTCCTGGCCCATTGTACGACTCAGACCTGGTCTTGTTTCGCTAGGTCCAAATCCAAACGAAAGATCTTCATCAGAAGCCAGATGAAGGTCACCATGAAGCTGTCTCATTTTTGCCACAAAATTAGCTCTTCTCCGACCATTAGCTTCTGCAGTCGAAGGTGTGGTGATGGAATCCTAAAAGTGAAACAAACATGTACAAATTAATCTTGTGTAACATGCAAACAAATTATGTTATAAAAATCGTGATTTTCAAAAATGATGCATTTTGCATTCCAGGCCCGTCTTTTCGTACCACTTCATTCGCTAAGAAACCTAAGGGGCACTGCGCCGAGTTAGTAGATCATCAGGGCATAAATCCCTGCAGACTTTGGAATGACCCTTAAAATCAGAGGTTTGTAGATCTTTAAAGCCCCACTACACTACTTATAGCTACTTGTGCCCTCTACATGTATATAGCAAACAATGCCTAATCGATGTTGGTCCCCCATGATCCCCTTTTTCTTATGTTAAATGAGAGCTGATTTGATAAGATAGCCACCTGTCAGTGACCTTGCAGGGAGGTCTATTCACTCCTGGCCAAACTAGTGCAGACAGGCTTTACGACCTAATAGTAGATAGTTAGGCCTTGAAATTACCCTTAAAATCAGAGGTTAGTAGATGATTACAATCAGTACACACCTTTTCCTCCAAAAGCTTGCCATACTGCAATTCAGCCAGTCTCTGTCTCCTCTCCATGATGGACTGGGTGGTAGGGGACTTCGACCCTGGCCTCCTGTTCTTCAGGTAGGTATCGTAATCCATTCTAGAGATGGATGTCTCCGTGGCGGTACTGCTCATGGCAGGGCCAGGGGAAATGGCCTTGGGGTGGGGCATTCGAGCAGAAGGCAGCTTGCTGGGAACCAAAGCCAGTGCAGCAGTTGAGGGCGGGGCAGCTCTTCCTTTCTTCTCATGGGTAGCAGGTTTCCATTCCAGTCCTTTGTGTGCCCTCCAGAAGCGCTGAATGGTGACAATAGCCCTGTTAGTAGAAGGAGTGAGGAGAACTTTAATGATCAGCAATCAAATATAAATGTATGTACATATAACAGTGTACAACAGTTTATCTCTGCATTATAGAATTAACATTACTTTTGGACCATATTTCCTCACATCTTCTCAAGGATGCCCGTATGGAATCAAGTGCATAATTATGAGACTTACAAATACAATGTTTGTACATGATAATAATACTTTAGTCCAAAGATTATACAAGTTCTCATATCACTTATTCAGCAGTGATTTTTCTGTTGACTCATTAGTTGATTTATATGCTATTATATATTTCAATTCAATTTCATTTATCATCCAATAATGTAAAAACATGTTATAAAAGGCAAAATACTAGATTTAAGGACACCTAAAAAAAAAGCACAGGGCTTATAAAACAAAAGGCACCTGCACATAGCATATGAAATAATAACAAAGGGGATACAAATCAAATAGAGTTGTATGAACATTAAATGCCCTATACAGTAATACATGTATGTATGTGCATATAAACAACATTTGCCTTTTTTTAAATTCATTTATAAATGCCTGAGCTGGTAATATGCAGCTACCTATTTGGAACAGGCAGGTTGATTCACATGTAACATTGATAGGTTACAACTCTTCTTGAATAGGATTAAAAATCAGCAACATGTTTCAATTTTGATTTTTCAGGTTTGAAAATCATTAACAGGTTAAGAAGCATTACTCATGAAATTCATTTTGAAATGCTTCAAAATTTGGCTCAGATTGGATTAAAGAGCATCTAATAATAATAATAACAATAATATTCCGCTTTTATTTAGCACCCAATACATCGATACAACCATGTGCCTAAGTGCTTTACAGATACGTTATTACCCCGGTCATCGGATTCAGGCTTACCCGCACACAAGGTATGCACATTTTCTACTCCCTTGGGAGCATTCCAGCCAGTCCCCATTTTACAAGCGCACACTTGCTCATCCAACCACATGAATTTTCGCATCCTACCAGGTACCCATTTAACACCTGGGTGGAGAGTAGCCAGTGTAGGTTAATATCTTGCCAAAGGATATTAGTGCTGTGTCAAGATTTGTACCGTCGACCTTCGCATCTCCAGTCAAGCGCTTTAAACCACTCGACCACGGCACTCCTACGAACCATTGAGCCCTTGAGCAACCCTGGAGCCAGGCCGTGTGCTTCGCATACTCTTTACACGTTCCTAACTTATAAGTTTGAATGTTTAATTTGCCGGTAGACTTACCACACTTTGGTCCTTGCCATGATATTGAATGCCTTGCGTGTAAGCCAGCCTCTCATGTAACGTTGGATGATAAGGACGGGTGAGTGTTTGGCTTGGATGTGGGACACCGTTTGTAGTACAGCTCTCATGTGGGCCAGCTCATCATCCAAACTTGCAACCTGTGGAAGATCAGAATTAAATCATCATAATAGAGAAGGTTGAGTTCTGGGAAGAGGTGAAAAATAATTTGTGAGTGTTAAATATCATTGTATTATGCAAGTGTGGAAGATCATCAAATGTCTTAATATTCTAAATATGGCATGTAACATCATAAAAATTCATGACAGATTTTTATGCCACATGTTTGTGTAGTCCCATATACATCTTCCTGTGTAATAGTGCTTGTAACTTTACAAAGACTGCATGGGCCAAATTTCTTATCATTTTGATGATTCCAGAACCTTGCAGTACACACCAATACTTATATGATAGATGAACCTTTTCTGATCGATTTCATAATGTTTCCTTCACAATACAACTGCATATCCAGAACTCAACTTTATCTTTAAGTAGCTTATAACAGTTATTAAAACTTGTAGTAATTGATAACAAGTTTCATCAAACAGCGCCCAATATGTAAAAGACAGTTGTACAAATCACCCCCAAATGCAGGTTGCATACACTGAACATTTTAATTTTAGCGTCCTCTAGCAAGGCACAATGTCGTTCCTGAAACTGTGCAGAGGCTAGGTATATCAGCTGGCCCTGCACAAGAAAGGTGAGCATGATCACCTTTACAGAATGTCTTTAGATCTTCCTGCGAATCAAACTTGATCAGCATATAAAGAAAGAGTGAATATTACTCTCAGCTTGACAAAATAATGTACAGTCAAACCTGTCTATAGTGACCGCCCAAGGGAAACACAAAAAGTGGCCCTTGTAGACAGGTGGTCTTTGTAGACAGGTTCCTTTAGTACATGATTCAATGAGAAATCGTTTTCAAGGGAAACAACAAATGTGGCTTCCGTAGACAGCTGGTCTTTGTAGACAGGTGGTCACTAAAGCAGGTTTGACTGTTCAAGGGTAGAAGCTAAGAGGTATAATTACTTGTTTTTCAGGGAGGACCATGTTGATATAAAACGATGAGTTTAGCATGCTGAAATGATCTCCAAAGAACGCATCTTCTATGATCTCTTCGTCTGAAACTACATGGTTGTCTAGAGCTTTCAACGACCAAATGCTGCAGAGAAAAGAAAAAAAAATATAGTAAGTCATTTATAACTATTGTCTTAAACTGTGTTATCTTACTAAGACATCTTATACATCACAGGATATTCAACTTTTTGTCTGTACTTGTGACATACTTACAGTTGTTGACATACAACTTTCTTGTTACATCAACACGACTCCAAATTTATTTTTCCATGGCACCTAAGTGATATTGAAAATTGTTGTTGAGATTTTTAAAAGACACTAGCTTTTTAAAAGTCCACTGCATATTTTGAAATTGTCAACATATAATCAAGAACACTTCCCCAGTTTCACACCACAGTTACATTATAAATTCCTCAAATGCTACGAGCACTAAAAACAAATCTCTAGAAAAAGGAGCAGCCCTGATCATCTTGGAGCCCCTTGAGCAACATGCATGGAGGATACAAAATCTTTACTTGGAGCCAATTTCATGATTTTTCATCATGATTTAATGTATACAGCAATGAAGCTAACATGATTAATCTCGGTGCCGGCCAGTTCCCAAACATTCACCAGACTAAAATCTTTGTTCTTGTCAGTCATACATGTATGCGTATCTTCCAGCATGTTGCTAGGGTTATGAGACCTGATTATTATGAGTCTTGTGAATTTTGGCTTTTCCAGCTATCAGTATTAACCTATACTAAAGACTCTAGTGGTACAATGTCTCCTTTTAGTGATGTTTTTGCATTATCTTTTGATCTAGAATGCGAAGAATTACACATTAATCATGAGCAAAAAGAACAGGTATCACAGAAAATTTGTAGTATATTTGTAGTCTATGTTGAGCCCTTATCAAATAAGAGCATTGTAACTACTCATTATAGTATTTAGAACACAGTGTAAAATACAAAATTCCTATTTTTTGAACAAATTGGCAATTTTTCTTTAACATGGGTTCATTTTATGAAAATCATAATGTTATTAAACTAAACGGAAGTGGATAATAAGATTAATTGTTGCCAATTTGAGAAGGAAAAACAAGTTAATTTAGAAGACTGAAATGCTTTAGGTTAAAGATGAGTTGGGCTGGAGTCCATAGAAAAAAAGCACCAAAGTCAAATTGTATCTAACAGGTTAGCCTTTACACTAATGAATTCTCACCTCTGCAAAGACTTTACCCAGGCTTTTCTTGTGTAATCGGTTATGATTAAACATAATCTTACCTATTGACGACATGGTGTCTGTATGTCATCTTCAAGCTGATGGGAGTATCGTATAAGGTCATGATTTGAAGGTTAGGTGTGGCCCCCACGGCTTGCAAATAATCCAACCGACTGATGCTGTTGTCATGGAGATAAACAGCTCGGAGCTCCTTCATACCGGCCCAAAACTTCTCATCAGGTAGTTGATTGATCTGTACATAATGAAAATAAGAAAAGGAAACGCGTTCATACTTTTTTTTCTCCACGTCCATAGAATTACAAAGATAAAATATACGTTTAGCATGGTGAAAAAGATGTACAGTATGATAAAATCAACTTAATATGACACTGATTGAAGTCAAGCTATGACTACATCAGAGAGAACCTTTTGCCATTTCATCCTATATGTCTTTTGGGGTTAGGGATAGTAACCTGTATTGCTAATAATGGTTCTGAATTTACTTGGCCCTTTCCTCTTAGAAATATGTAATTATCAAAATAATAATATGTTTTACTATGAGAAGCTTCATCAGCTTCTAATGCTAATTGTTCCCGAGGGTGCTGCAATTATTATGACCCAAGCAATATGCCAGATACCTATTTACACTTGGGAGGAGGGTGGATTAACATCCTGCCAAAGGACAGACTGAGATTCTATCTAACCCTACACCCTTGGATTGAGAGTCACAATTTCAGTCACAAACCAGATTATGCCTTTGGTAAGATATTAACCTGCACTCTCCAGTTAAATGGGTACCCGATACGATGCAACCGTCATTGTTGGTCAAACAGCTTTTGAGCGTCAAGTAACGCCTGGCTGGAATGCTCTCCAGGCAGTGGAGATTGTGCACACAGTGTGTGCGGGCAAGTATTGAATCCAATGACCGGGGTTATAGTATATCTGTAAAGTGCTTAGAGACATCGTTGGTGTATTAAGCGCTATATAAAAGCGAAATATTATTATTATTATTATTATTAAAACTAAACTAAACAGGAAACCAACCTGATTGCCATGGAGGTCAAGTTTGACTAATCGTTTGCAAGCAGAAAGACCCTCAAAGCTCCGGATGTAATTCCCTGATAGGTTACAAACCCTGAGGTTAATGCAAGACCCTACAGCACCAACATCCCTGAGATGAACACCACATAGACGCACCAGCAAGACATCTTCTAGCCTTTTTACATCTTGTTGTTGCTCTTGGCATGCCTGTTTGAAGAAAGTAGTAATAACGTAGAGAGACTTTTACATAGAGCAAACATTTAATACCTCACTGGACTTTTTTTTGTGGTGAATATCCCTGAAACATGATTATGATGGTGGTCATGAAATCCATGGAAGTCTTTGCTTAAATATTAATGCAAAACATTCATAATAATACTACAGTCAAACTTGTCTAAGCGGCCACCTCTTTATAAAAGCCACCTGTCTATAGTGATCACCTACATGTATATTGTCCCTCTAGTGTTTTGTAGAACCTGTCTTAAAAGGCCACCTCTTTGCAGTGGCAACTTTTCCTGCTTCCCTTGGATGGCCTGAATAGACATTTTTTACTGTACATGTATTATGAAACTGCACAGTGAAATAATCACACTTACCAGTATGAAAACACTTCCTCTTTGGAGGTGATATATTTATATGACATTTACCCCATCCACTTTCAGATATGAGGCTGCAGATATGTTGCAATTTGTATTATTATGTAGAGTGTGATACGGTTTGCATTTCCTTTTCTTATAACATAGAGCTCAGTGAATACGCACAGTTGCCATTCATTTACACATTAAAAAACCATGCCCATGCCGGCTGTTATTGCGGCGGTCTACTGCAACATATGTGAATGATCCATGTTAAATCTAAGATGCACTGCCCTATGTGAAATCAGTGATATCGTGTAATATTGAATCCCTAAAAAAATTGCGCTTCAAAATTATCATGAAGTGCCTCAAAAAAGTAAAAATCTTTGAGTGATCGGTTTTACCATAATCATTTTCTCAAGTAGACTGTAGTGTTATAAAAACTGTTAGGAAAACGAAAAATGAAATTTCTATTTCCAATAATAAATATCTTGATAATCAGACAGGCGATAGGCTTGTAAAGGCCATGGGATTCCTGACTGACCTAAAGGTTTATAATTATCATTGCAGCATGAGCTAAATCCAGGATTTTGTTTCGAAATCTGAGGCAATGTTACCAAGTCACTTTAAGGCTTGCTTGTATACCTTGATAATCGAGCCCTCTGTGGGGGATTGTAAGTAACCTCTCTCCTGGGCCTGACGGAGGAACTGCTTGTTACGCTCCTTCTCCATGATATTCCGCAACAAGCGAGGGCGCTGTTGCTCGTGGAGCCATGAGAGGAGCTGGGGTTGGCGTTGCTGTGGGTTGATCTGAGTGGTAGCGGGCAGCATGGTTAGGTTCATTGCTTTGATTGAATCACACCATGAAATTTATGTGCTTCTCTCAACTTCCATTACTGAGTCCTGAAATACAAAAAAGAAATAAAGCATCGAACATAAAATTGTGCAATTACATGTAGATTGCATTTCTGAAGATTCAATCAATACAGGTACAGTAAGTGATGTCTACCAGTACATGTAGCAAATTAATACCACCCCTGCTAATACTAGACAAGTACACTGTAGATGGTCTTTCCATCAAGTTCGTAATTCCTCCACACACCATTTTCTTCACAAAAGAGCATCATGAACGCTTTTGCTGGGATTTTCCTCAGAAAAATGAAATAGAATCTAGCCGTACAGTAGTTCACTGACTTCTATACTTCTTCTTTTCTTAAAACTTTAAGGGCCTGTGAAGCCTACCACAATGATCTGCATGTAGATTATCAGTTGTGTACGCAGGCACAATTAACACCAGGTTTATAGTTTATACCCTACTCTTTGCGAGAAGTGTACCGTATTTAACATGCATACATGTAGGTAGGGACACTGATTTTCCATTTTAAAAAATGGCTTTTTCCATTTCAGAAAATCTGCAATTCCGTGAAATTCTGTTTTGCCACTGATAACCAATCAAAAACATACGGACGGGACTAGATAAACTTGATGCAAAATACTAGTGAAAATATACAAAAAAATTATCAAATGTTCAGATTTACCAACTTCAAATTCGAACTTAGACAAGCAGACTAAATTCAATTCAATTCAATTCAAAATGGTTTATTTCAAATAAAACTTTCATTGCGGCGTTTAGCCGAATTACAAAAGTTTACAAACAAAATAATAACACATAATGTAATATATAACATAGCATAACATGATATATTGAATTTGTAAAATAAATCAGTATAAATACTAGAAATATAGCTTATTGCAACATATGGAAACATAAATTAGAAAGAAATCTGAATTAAATAGCATTAAATAGCACTGAAATCATGTGAAGAAGGACTAATGTAAGCAATTAGCGGTAAACGGAGCAAGTGTACAGTATGTGGTGGAAAAAAAATTGAGAGTAAAACTGAAAGGTGAGGAGTAACGTTTGCAAATACACTGTAACTTATTGAAATTAAGAGTGGGAGAGATTTACAGAGGAAGAGTGTTAAAAGGCTGAGCGGGGAAAAGGTATAGGAAGAAGTAGTAAAAAGCGACAATGGAAAATTCATATAAGAGGATACGGAAAAGAAGGGAAAAGAAGAAGACGATGATGATGAAGAAGAAGAAGAATAACAAGAAGAAGAAGAAGAAGAAGAAGAAGAAGAAGAAGAAGAAGAAAAAGAAGAAGAAGAAATGGAAGAAGAGGAAACAAGAGGAAAAAAGAAGTAGATGAAAGAAAAGATAAAGATAAAAGAGCAAAAGAACAAAACAAAGTGGAAATATACAACCATGCCTAAAGTAGACAAGAGATGGTGGTGAAGAGGGATGATAAGCTATTGTCACATGACAGATTCAGTTAAATTCAATTTAGTTCAATTCAATAAGGTAAAACTAGGCTAAAATGGAGTTTAACAAATATTTTTATTTTTTTTTTTTTTAGATAAAAAGTTAGCGGAATGTGTCAGAACACGACATATTCCTGACGGAACGATGCTGATACAGATACAGGCTGAGTACCGACGTCGACAAAAACATTCCAGTCTTGGCTGTCATGTCAGCGATCGATCGATTTTAGGCGCACACGCCTGCCCCTTTTTCGAACTTTACAACAGCGCGTGTACAATCTCGCCGCCGCTGCTGGCGTGTGTGTGCCTAGTATTACATAATACTAGGCGCCTACATGTAGCTGGCATAATAGGATTGATTCGCTGCTATTTGTACCATGTTTTGTGTCACGATCTCTATTGGTCCAGCAAAATAAAATGGCAGTGCCCTGTTTCCTAAGAATCTGACGAATATTGCTAAATATTCAGTTATTAATTAACCATGATTTTAGGCTCAATATTTTTTCACTGCATAAAGAATCACGAAAATAGTGTAAGTTTTTACGATTTTCTTCTTGAAAAATGATAAGTTTAGAGGTGAAAGGGATTTTCCGCGACTTTCCGTTCAAAATTGCATTTTCCGTTTCAAATGGTCATTTCCATGAATTCTGCCCGTTTTCCGTGATCGTGGAAAATCAGTGTCCCTACATAGGGTGTGACTGTCCTACACAAGGGGCCTCCATGCCGGTTACCTCCAGGCCAGATAACATTCTGTCGAAACAGAGGGTGGGGAACAGAGTGTTTTCCTCTGAACCTGTGCCTGCATCTGATCAGTGCATGACTTGAACCAAAGCGCATGACGAAGTGAGACTGAGCAGAGCTGAGTCAGACTGACGATCTGACTGCGCCACAAAAATGGGGCAGCCATGGCCCATGGCATGGCATAATTATTCTCAGGAAATGAAAGCCACAACAAAGGACTTAACAACAACCATGTCCACGATTGCAACTTAAGTTCATCTTCATGATCTTCATGATAAGCTTCACAATCCTTAATTAAACTACAGAGTTAAAACTCAGTATTTTGGAGGACCAACCAACGTACCAAGAACCAAGAACCAGTGCAGTGGAGTCGCAGACGCTGCCAGCTTTACACCATACAGCACACGCACACAATGCAACGGGGAAGCTCTGCCGCATCTGTACCTGCGAGATCGCAGGCACAGCGTTGCTTTGCCTTTACTTTTGCCTATCTGTAGGCCTACAATTACGTTACTAATTAATCAAAACAATTAAAAGCGTTTACATATTAAGCTACAATACATTACCTTTCTCTGAATTATTTCGTAAATTATATTTCTATAATATTGGAATCCTAATAAAAACAGATCCTTGTTGAACTTGTTAATTGATAGAGCACACACTGATGATGGGTTTATCGTGCACTATGTTTCCATGGTCGCGTGTAGTATACAAACAAATATTCTATGGTGTCGTTAACGCACTGAAGAAAAGAAAAAATACGGTTTGGCTTTGACTTTACGCATGCCGGTATAAACGCGGTAGGCCTACAAAACGCGGCCATTTTGTAAGGTAGGCATAATTTGCTAGTTTCGTCATAGTTGCATTATCACTGAGCTTCATATTTTACATTTGACAATGCTTTGTCATTTTTAAATGAAGATAAAATGTTAATTGAGTAACGAAAATGTGTCTCAATGAACATAAACTCTTTAAAAAAAAGTTTGAAAACTGAAATTTGATCGATTGTACTAGCCCTATTATAGCTCTTGTCATTGTCGCGGTCTTTTGTATTATTAGAAACTGTTTTTTATTCCTCTGTAAGATGATACCATTTTTTTATGATAGTAAATACATGTAAAACAATTGCAAACTATGTTCTAATGAATAAACATGGAATGTTGTTTAAAATCTATATGCAATTAATCAACATGCGCTGTGGCAATGGCGGGGACAACAATGATCATGATGATTGCCAAACAGGCTTGCCGAGTAGAATTTTAAAAAAACTTAACAGCAGTAGCGAATCCACAGGGCCGAATCGGCTACCCCCCCCCCCGCCCCCCCCCCCCCCCCCCACCCACCATTTCCCCTCCACCCCTTGGTGGCCTTTAACTAAAAGGGTCGAGAGAGCGATGAAAGAAGAAAAAGGAGAACAGAAAGAGAGAATTAGTAAAGAAGAAGATATGCGAAAGGAAAGAGAGATAAAATAATGACAATGAAATTACCACCCCCAAAACCGCTACCCTAGCTGTGATGTGGGTCGGCAACGTATTGGATGGGATTGGAACCCTACCACTGCACCGCAAACTATGCATAATGCGTGAATGATGTATAAACCCGTCGCGGATTGGTGGGGGGGGGGGGGGGTCGGCCTCCTGCCCCCTTTTTGGCCGCCTTTAAAAGAAATAAAAGGGAGAGGTAAAACAAAAAAAGAGATCGATCGATCGACGGAAGAAAACGCAGAAAAGAAGAAAAAAGAGAAGAAAATATATGGAGAGGGGAAAGGAGAGAGAGAGAAAAAAAAATACAATCAATAAGGACATGAAACTTAAATGTAAACATGAATATTACATGAATTGGCACAAAATAGGCCTAATGCCTACGACGACTTCGGACAAAGTGGAACAGTAGGGGAAAAAAACAGTCCTATGAAATATCTGTGAGAGAACGAATTGATATCCAACTAAATAAAGCAATAGGGGCTGTGCGAATTTCAAGGCACATATTTCAGTTTCTACCGCTCAAGACAGCTTCTCAGGGTCCGTGCTCTCCCCCCCCCCCCCCCCCCCCTCCTGGACCCGATCCTAGGCAACTCTCTGTTCTATGAAACTGTTCATAATTATATAGGAGAGAAAGAGAGAGAGAGAGAGAGAGGGAGGGATAGAGAGAGAGAGAGAGAGAGAGAGAGAGGGAGAGCCTGAGAGAGAGGGAGAGCCTGAGAGAGAGAGAGAGAGAGAGAGAGGGGGGGGGGGTACTGGGATGATACTTAATATCTTACGAGTAGTTGTTGTAGGAAGAGAAGTGATCGAGCCGGTCGTAGACATCGCTGTTGTGTCTTGTTTAGTAGTTGATTCTAGAAAATAAATATTGGTATAAATACATAATTCGATCTTAGGGCAAAATACTTTCTATTATATATATATATATATATATATATATATATATATATATATATATATATATATATATATATATATATATATAACCAAATTGTATTGAAAGATTGATTGATAATGAGAGAGAGAGAGAGAGACAAAGAAAGAGAGAGAAAGATAGAGAGAGAAAGAGAAAATGAGGGAGAGAGAGATAGAGAGAAGAAGAGAGAGATAGATAGTGAGAGGGGGGGGGGGATGCTGGGATTATAATTAAGTTATCTTACGAACTTGTGTAGTAGTTGGTTATAGATAATAAATATTGGTATAAACACATGATGATTCGATTTTAGGGCAAAATACTTTCTATTTTATATACAACAGAATTTAATTGACAATGTTGATTAGGAGAGAGGAAGAGAGAGAGAGAGAGAGAGAGAGAGAGAGAGAGAGAGAGAGAGAAATAAAGTGAGAGAGAAGGAGAGAGGGAGGGAGTGAGAAAGAGGAAGAAAGCGCTAGAGAGAGACAAAGGGAGGGAGAGAGAGAGAGAAACTATTATGGGTAGCATATTATTATCGGGGTTTTTTTTAAAGGAAAAACCCTCTTGACACAAACGTTTTGAAAAACTGACGAGTTAGTCATAATAATTATTGTCAATTACACGAATTGGAAATTTTCTGCCCGTAGACCTACATCACATTGACATAATGATTTAGCCGATTCGAATTCCCATACATATAGTGATCACAACTTTCAAAATTCATAACTTTCTTATTTTTTGTTCGATTTCATCCAAACTTTCACTATTATGGTTTGTAAATTTCCTGCTTTCTTTTTAGCATATTTAGGGTGGTATCGGAGTTGGATTAAGAGAGTGTACGGTAACCCTCTCGGGCCAAATGTTTAATCTAAACTAGGTTTTTGTGTCATTGAACCTGTACGAGGTTTCCAAAATACATTCTCATATTTCATATCCTGTATCAGAGGTAAACATAAATTTGCATACAATGGTTAACCCTTGACGCATAAACACCAGACACTAGCTATTTAAAGAGAAGGTAGAGTTTTCAGAAAGGTGAAAAATATTTTGAAAGATTTTCGTTTATTTTCTTTCTTCTGTTGATGTTAGTGTGGAAGAAGTACATCATAACAAATATATGTATCATACACAAGAAATACAGCGTACCCTATTGATCTCGAAATATGTTTTATTTTTAACAAAACTAATAAATTATTTCTTGAGAATTTGATCACGAGAAACACTTATTTGTGTTTGTTTGTTTGATTGTGTGTTGGTTTTTCGTATCTTTTTTTCTTCTTTTAATTCTTACTACTTCAACATTTCTTCAATCACGTCAATAGCAAATCGGTAGGAGTGATTTATAGTATATTGCATATGTGTGATGTATATAATACCAATTTATGTATCCTGAGCAGTTTCAGGTATAAAGCTTGTCGTTTGGATTGTTAATTTCCGTAGTAATATATTTGTGCATGTGACTGACAGGAATAGACCAGTATTTTAATAAATTTTTGTTTTTCACACATCGGCTGTTAATTTTTTTTCTTCTTCTTTTTTTCCTTTTGTTAAAGTCATATAAATAACGGATTTTAGTATTTTATGTTTGTTATGCTACCCACAATTGATTATATTGATATGGAATGCAGAAAAAAACTAAATCAAATCAAATCAAATCGAATCAATATCATTTAATAACTAATTTATTTGGAGAACATAAGAGGATCTCAATTAAAAAGATATTGTCAGAACAAGCAACGGTTTAACTACAATTTGTGATACGATGAACGAGAAAGAGGTTAAAGGTATTACAAAGTTTTCGTATGGGGTCATGAATTTGGTTCAAATTAACATACTGGAAGCATATGCGTTCCTACAATATTAATTGATCGTTGTCCCGGTTGAAATCGAGTCTAAAGTTATGAAATTATAAATAATAAACTCTTTATGTTGTATAGCTCCCTCTCAAGGTCAAGATATCAATTTAGCTATGAAATAATGTTTCTTGATTAAAATCGACCGATTAGCTATTGCCGTTTGGAAATTGTATATCACAACAACATATTCTGATATTTTCATGGTCGCAGCTACCATTGTACGGTCGTAGGCGCTATTTGAAATTTATTAAAATTTACCGGGAGCACCGGTAAATTTTTATATTCAATTTTTCTCGAAAACAGAAGTGTTTTAGGGGTTAATTTTTTTTAGTGCTTATAATACATCCACAGGGGCATCCAAATATATCAAAATTGTAAAGATTCACTATCCACCCAACTTTCAAATTTTCCCAAAACTTTGTATTACCTTTAAGCCTTAGATAGGGGGAAGAGAAAGAGCTAATGTCCGATCGAGTAATATTTTTGAAATTTTAACTTGGCACTTCATGAAGTTTCAATGGTTGATCGAGTTTCTTTGAGTTTCATACAAAGTCATGTCAATCAAGTACGTGTAGATCCTGAAAATAAGAACGATACTTACTTCAATTTGTAACTCGAACACTACGACGCAGGAAACATGACTTCGTGCACCGAAGTGAAGTTGGTATACTTGGAATATGAACAGGAGCTAGCTCTTCAATTCCACTCAGCTTGTCACTTCGTATCAACTTAGTCCTTTCACTGCCTGGTACGTGCACCTGGAATTAAAAATCTTTGAACAGGATACCCTACGCCCTTGATTCGATCATTCACCCTTCCAATCTAGGGTTTAAATAATAACAATAAGTAATAATAATAATTATTACGTTTACCCAGGGAAGCACCGTCAGCTTCACTGCTTCAGGGCTCTTCTTTTTTTAGAATGCTACCAACACCAAAGATTCAATGGATTGGGTATCGTTGCCTCAGATTCAAAAATAAATCCTGGATTTAGCTCATGCTGCAATCATAATTATGACTTTAACAAGCCGATCGCCTGTCTGATTATTAAGATATTTATGATTGGAATTAGAAATTTCAAAAACCGTATTAACCGTATTAAGCGCTATATAAATTAAATATTATATTATTATTATTATTATTAGAGTCTATTGTGGGAAAATGAGTATGGTAAAAACTGTCACTCAAAGAGTTTTACTTTTTTGAAGCACTTCATGATCATTTTGAGGCGCAATTTGTTTAGGGATTCAATATTACACCATATCACAGACACCGATAACACGTAGGGCCATGCATCTCATATTGGTAAAACTGGAAACATTGTTAAACAATGCCTTAATCATTACCCCCAACAATTATCAGATACCCATTTATACCCAGGTGGAGAATGGCAAGTGTGGATTGAAATCTTGCCAAAGGACGTTAGTGCCGAGCTGGCGGATTCGAACCCTTAACCCTTGGATTAAGAGTAAAGTGAATAAACCACTTTACCAATAAACACCTCTAAAGCTTTGAATACCCCGGTCACGTTCTCTCCCTTTTCCTACTCCCTTTTGTAACGGATCCTCCTCCCTCACTTTTTCCACATGATCCTGCTACTAAGTTGGTTTTAATAGGAGCTGAAAATGAGAGAAATAAATAAGAACTTTTTTGATCAATACCCGATTTAAAAAAATAGAAAAGTCATTAAATTTGTCACACTTTCATTAACCTGTTTCTTTCATTTTTTTTTTGGTTGCTTTTATTGAAACCAACTTAATACCAGGGTGGACTTCCCCCTTAACCCAAATCTATCACTCTCCATCCAGATGTATTTCGCAAAGATAATACCTTTGATAGTCATTACCGGGCCCTCAGGAAGAAAATTGAAGCTGATTAGACCTCACTGGGTATTAAACAAATTATTATTATTATTATTATTATTGTTACAATTAATATTAGTACTAGTAGTAGTAGTAGTAGTAGTAGTAGTAGTAGTAGTAGTAGTAGTAGTAGTAGTAGTAGTAGTATTAGTAGTACTTTTATTATTATTATTATTATTATCATTATATTACCCCAGTCCCTCTCCCGTTACTTACTCCCGTTTTGTACTGGTCCTCTTACCCCTTACCCTTGTTTCTTGTTCTCTGCTTCTACAAAATATTCCTCATTTCGTATTATCTCTATTTTCTCAAGTTTCCTTTCCGTTCTACGCATTGCCCTATTTTTGAGTCCCCTAACCCCCTCCTTTATACGAATAAAAAACAAGAGCTTTCAAGTATGACGGTCAGATTGACTCGAATTGATCATTGATTACTACTCAATATTATATTGAAATCACTCGTAACCATGACAATAAGTGATTTTGGGTTTTATCAGCTATGATGTCGTCTGTTCGGAGTGCTGTCACAATAAATTTATGATTCCATATTGCTTTCTTCGAGGATAAAATCATTTCTTGTGAGAGAGAGACAGACAGACCAAGAGAGAGGAGGCGGGAGATCGAAATTGAGATTGAGGGATAGAGAGAGAGAGAGAGAGAGAGAGAAAGAGAAAATTTTGTAATCAAACTGGCAACTGGGAGAATAAGGGGAAGGAGAGAAAAATCCTGAACGATGACGATATTTCCAAATACCAGCAATTATTAGGTCCTCTTGGGTCGACCTTGCCTGACCTAGTAACAAGGAACTGAATGTTACCCGGTTTCTTATTTACTTCTTTGTAGTATGAATACATCCGTGAGCATAATAGTGACGGGTCATGGCTACGTCAAAATCAAGTAGGTTGTCTTTGTCACGTAATGTTGTTTCAGCAGTGTTTTGAACCAGTATAAAACCACCATTATCCTCATCTTGGAGTCAGTGGCTGTGGAACTTCATCAACTGAGAACTTCAAGAGGTTGTCGTTTGCCTGACTATCTAAGGATCTCTACAAATATAGTAAGCAATTGGTAAGCTACATTATTTAGTTGAACTCAGCTGTGCCACTTAAATTTTGAACAAGTATTCAAGGACCATGGTCTGTAGCGGATTCGAAAATGACCCCCTGTTTTTGCATACTTCGAAACGTACCTCTTTTATGAATATGACGTTTTTGCTCAAATCTAATGATCATTAACCAGAATTATATTTTTCCTCTTTTTTTTCGAGAACATCGAGGCCATTGAATATCATGTTAGAATTCGCGCCATCTGATAAGCTCTTAAGCCAAGCGTGTTTCACCCGGGGCGCCGCGAGAGAATTTTAGTTATACAAATCATTATTTTGGAATAACGTCGATTTCGTGAAAAGCATTATAAACCGCTAAATCATGTAATTTCATGAGTAAATAGCATTTTAAAAGTAAGTAAATTGTTTTTCTTCAACGCTACTTTTGAAAACTTGATGATTTCTTGCAGTGAAGTGCCTGAATACCTCCATATTTGAGTAACGAGGTCCGAATAGCCTTCTATTTGACAGCGAAGTGCCTGAATAAATAAATAAATATATATATATATATATATATATATATATATATATATATATGTATAATTTGTGTTAATGTTTGTTTTCTTTAAATAGAATTATCAATCATGTTGGCAGTTTGTCTCCTCACTTTCATCGCCGCGTTGACTGCCGCAGTCCCGACCCCGACCCCAGGGCCTCCTAACGGAATTCCCCAATGTGCACGTGAGTCTTCCATTAGTTGCATTCATTTAGTTTTATATATTTATTTTTGTCTGTAGTTGTCTATGTATGTACATATTTATTAATTCATTTATTCATCTATCTATCCATCTATCTAGTGAATGATTTATTTATTTATTATTTATTAATTTAGCTGTCTATGGTGTCTAAGGTATTTTGTTATTGATCGGTGTGTGTTTACTTAATTATTTAGTCATTTATCAATCCATCCATCCATTCATCGACGCCATTGTCTAACTCTACTAACATTTCCATCCTCTTGTTTACCCCCCCCCCCCCTTCCAGTCTCAGAGTGCCCCGTCTATACTGAATTGGAAGACTATGGTCAAGATATGTGGAAGCGGCGGATCGAACCAGGAGTATGGGCGCGTAGGTCCGCTCCAACCTGCAACCGAACTGCTGCAACAGATCTAGTCTACTACACGGACCTCCAAAACTACTTTTTGGGTAAGACTTGAGAATCAGACTTTTGTACATTCTGTTATAATTCCGAAGAAATCATAGAACACTCATTTGGGGATTGCCCAATTTATCAGAGGGCTTATCCAACATTTGAAATAAGGTAAGCTTTTTGTTTGGATATTATTGAAGTGATTACATTTTATGTAATTTGATTTATCTTTTACGCCAAATACAACGCGCTTTCTATCCAATGTAAATCTAACTTATCATCGATCATTTTTTATTCCAATCCCTTTTAACATATCCTCGTTCATAAAAATATTTCACCTATATTAAAAACATATTTGTTTTCTCTTATCCTCAAGCGAGGTTTTTATTTCCATAATTTCAATACATATTTACATTCATTACTCAATGATTAAGTGAACCATAACATAGGCTAAGAATTAAAATATATTCAACAATTCTTCCAGCTTAGTATCATTTTGTTTGCCAACATAGTCATACCTTAAACATAATCTTAGCAACGACTTCAAACTTTTGTTTGAAGTATGTGGGTAAAACACAATCTTTTTAACGTAACATTTATAAATTAAATATTGCGCAAAATTTAAAATGATATTCAGGAGAACATATTTCTTGTTTCCTATGACCTTACCTACAACTAATATCTTTTGGTTTATTTGTACTTCTACTTGGAATAGGTTAAATATGAAATTACATATTATTTTCCAAAACAAAGTCACATCCTTTCAATATAACAAAAAGTGAAACGTTGAGTCAACTTGTCCACAAGAGTGGCATAAAATAATTATTATTCACAATTTGCCATTTAAAGTTTTCTTTTGAGGCAATAAAACTGTTAATCATCTTGAAATTAAATTGTTTAACTTTATTATTACGAATGTGCTTTAATTTAAATGAAAATACATCCTTCGAAAGAAAGTCATTATCTAAATCTAGAAAGGAATTCCAAAAATAAATGACATTTGGTTCTCTTGACTTCTTACGTATTAACAAACGATAGTAATCATTAGCATTTGACAATAAATAGAACACGTTCTTTAGCTGCTGTAAAAGATTAAACAAACAAAGATTAAGTTTATGTGCACTAGCATTATAATACATTCTACTCCCAAATAGGACGTACACGAACGGAATTTAACAAAATTTGTTAATATATATACACAGGCAAAAAACGATGAAATAAACATTATTTGCCAAAACATATTGATAACTTAATAAAGTTCATCGATTCGAATTATGCATGGAAAAAAAAAGGATTATTCACCTTTCAGTCTCTTTAAACGTCTCATGTTTTAGTTTCTCCGTCTTCCTTAGCTTATATTAGCTTTTGGCCGAACAGCGCTTCGATCAACTTCTTTATATTCAGTTAGTATGCAAGGTACTTCTAATCGTTTACAATCGTGAAGAATAATAGTAAGCATTAAAAAATCCAGTAACCCATTTCCGTATCTATTTTTCGTCTTATTTTACTAACCTTTCTTTCACGTCGAATTGTTTAACTAGACAACGGGATTGACCGGACGACACCAGTCATGTTTGAAACCGTGAAAAACAAGGCCAGGCCAACTTTCTGTCCCGACCAATCAGAGTCCCCCCCTTGCTGTGCCGAAATCTACGCATATCTCTTCTACATTCCTGCAGCTTCGCAAGCAAACACCCCACCTCCATCACAGGTACACAACTTAAAGCCACATAATAGTCAGTGTCCATGTGTGGTGCATCATATTTCGCTGACCCCAGATTTGGCTGAATTACCTAGTAATACGTGCACAGGCCTCTCACGCAGCGAACCCGTTGTCCCTCCCACCAGAATACACTCCAGCTTACCTTTATTAGGGACTTTTAGATTTGCGTGGCCTGAAACGTGTGACGTCCATTCAAGGCAGTGCATTAAAAGGACGTCCATTGTAGCAATCCACATTGTCGTCCTTTGTAATATTATGATGACAACTCCTTATATTATGGCGTTATAGGCTCGGCTGCTGGTCCTGAAAGTGGAGTCAACTCTTACTGATTTTAAGTAAACAACCGAATGGTGTCAAATTCCCCATTCTATGAGCATTTAATAAGAGGGTTTATAATAATCATCCAAGGCGTCATAACAGGGTTGTGGCATTGTTACTCCGCTCAATCATTCTGTAGACAAAGCTATTATTTGCATCGGCAAAATTTAAGGATCAACAAATTGTTATATGGGAGGTCCCGTCATTCCTTCTTTTTTTCTATAACCTTGTTGAAAAACAGTAACCGTCCCCATTTAAGATTTCCTGACCCCCAAGTATTAATTAAATGATCTTGAATAAGCCCCCCAAAATAGAGACATGTTTGGAATTCAAAATGCTAGATTTTCAGTATCAAAATATGATGATAAGCGGGAAATGTATCAAATCCATTGATTTCTTTAACGATTGAAGTTCAAAATGACTTGGTGTAAAGACATTTTCTTCTTTAGAATGAATCGATGTTGTGGATTTCATTTTTTAAAGGACTCTGGGGTGGAGCTAGTGCACATGGAAGATCCTCGGGAGTTCTACGGCATCACCTTCGGTGGGCGACCGGAAACTCCCAATGCGACGGAGAAATACGAACAGCTTCATGCGTACCTCGTCGAGCAGGCCCTTCCAATCGAGACCTACGATAGCATTGTTGCAGGTGAGTAATTATGTAGGACCTATGGCAGTCATCCACTTACGAAAACTTTCCCGACAACTATCCTCTCAGGACAACATATAACAATTTTATTATTATTTTCATTTTTGTTTGTTATTGTTGATGGTGATGGTGATGGTGGTGGTGATGATGATGATGATGATGATTATTATTATTTTCATTTATATTAGTATTAGTATTTATTGGTATCATTATTATCATTGTTAATATTGTTATTATTACTATTATCATTATCATTGTTATTATTATTATTATTATTATTATTATAATTGTCGTCGCCATTGTCTTCATCATCATCATCATCATCATCATCACATCAAGAAGATGTCGTGGTATAATGGTTCATTCACTTAATTTCTATCAAAGGGTTGAGGGTTCGAGTGTCAGCGTGCCGGCACTAACGTCATTTGGCCAGACATTAATCCACAGTTGCAACCTCCGTGTAAATGGGTACCTCGCAGTAACAAGTCCCCCGGAGAGGACCTAAAACCTTCGGTCCCCTGCTTGCTTCCTTCAAACATACACATGATTTTTTAGCAGTCCGGTAAAACAAACCAACAAGCAAACAACATTAACAAATTGAAGGGCCATCAGGATGAACAGGCGTGAAGCTGATGAGGCTACCCTTAGTTAAGACAATTATCATTTATATGTATTTATTCATTTATTTATTGTATTTTTGTCACAGCTTATGACGCACCAGGGCAGCCTCAGCCTCATCGCACTGAAATCCTGATTCCTGTCAAGGGACCCAGAGAAAATAAAACCAATGCATGCCCCGACAACCAGAACGACAGCCAAGAAAACGAAGAAGGTCGTGGTGATCGTGATGGTGGTGGTCGTCGTCGTGGTGGAGGTGCTGGTGGTGATGGCGGTGGTGGTCGTGGTGATGGCCGCGGTCGTCAAAGACGCAACGTTCACGACCTTTCCAACATCGATCTCATTCTGTTTTGAGATGGTCGGCAAACGACTCCAACCAAGATTATAATGATTTTATGTCATTTCATTTCATTCGTCACATTTAATACATGTTAAGAATAACAGAGGCTACATAATACAGAAATTGTACAACTGGGAAGCACTCCCTTTTTGTACATATCTAAAGCGTATAATTATATAGTAAGTAGTTTACTCTCTTAATTTGTTATTGGATATAAGAAAGTGCTTTGCTTTTTAACTGGTGTTGGAATACATCACATTATTATCATAGTATTTTCACTTTTCAGCATAATCAGGAACCATATTTTGGCACAAGCCAATTCGGTTATTTTGTGGTGTCCCTTAACCATAATACTATTAGTTTAATTTACCCTTTTGATATATTATTTTAGAAATGGTAATAAATTCATTCATTCATTCGTCCATTCGTTTTTCCGAAAGTTCGTTTCCCTAAAGACTCATAATATTCCGAAGGTTCATCATCAAATTTATGGTCATTTCGAAACACAAATTTCCTATACCAGGGGGTCATAATTCCGTAAATGAAATAGGGTTCATACAATCATGTTGTTGGTTTATTCCGGAAGTTCGTTTATCCGAAGGATCAATATAATTCCGAAAGTGAAATAGAGTTCATTATTTTTATTATCCATACTTTCAAAAATGATATGAGAATTGCTTTTCAAAATTTTTGAATTTTCTAAAAATGATACATGGTGATATATAATTTCCACAATGATGAACCTTCGGAACTATGAACCCCATTTTCATTTTCGGAATAACAAATCATTTATATGAGATGGAGCCTTTCTCTTGGTCGATAATCTAGGATCCAGACAAGCCGAATGGAGCATGGGAGGGGGCTGCGGGCAGCGCATATTTTTTTTTACACAACTGTTTAACCACTTCAGTCAAATATACTGTGCAAACGACTAGAGGCAGAGTCTACCCTTAGCAGTGTTGGATTGCTGGGGCTGTACACGTGTACATACTCGTTATTTGTTTTGGGTTAAATCTATCCTCTCTTCTCTTTCATTATATATTTCTGTGTTCTCCTTCAATCTATCCTCTTCTCTTTTGTCATGTATTTTTTTTTCTTCTTTTTCTTCAATCTATCCTTTTTCAAACCGGCTCCTATATGTCTTTGTTTTTCCACAATCTATCCCCCTAAGTTCGGTTATGTAATTCTTTTGTTCTCTTTCATTCTAACCTCTTCTCTTTTGTTTTATGTATTTCTTTGTTTCTCCTTCAATCTATCCTTTTCTCCTTCGTCAGCTATTTCTTTGTTTAAATCTGATAGATTTCCTTTCTCCTTCTCCGGCCTGTTTTTCCTTAGTCTAGATCTATTATCCTCTTAGCTGTATTTCTATGTTCTTCCTTTGACTTACCCTCTTCTCTTTCCTTATGTATTTCCTTGTTTTTCCTTCTCCATATTATCCTCTTTTATATCCTTGTTTTCCGCCCTTTCTATCATGTTCCCTTCCCTTGGTGTATTAAAGTGCTTGCACATTATAATGCGCTGACGACTTAGACTCTTTCACCAGAGCACTTCTTGGAATTTTTTTCGCGAAAATGGCTAAACAGTTGTGTAAACAAAAAGTATGCGCCTGGGGCAGCTTCACATGTACCCTTCCATGGGGAAGCAGACCCTTTAAACATGAGTCCCTTCTTGTACTTTTTAATTGTGACACTGGCAGCAATTTAAGACATTCCACGATACACCTGATACTAAGATGACGTTTTATTTGGGGGTTGGGTTTGGGTGCCCCCCCCCCCCCCACCAGAGAATTATGGATCTGCGACTTGAAACCATCCGCGGTTCTATGAATAAGTTGCGCTAATAATTATTATTCAGGATATTAACGGCTGGTGATTGATGAAAAAAAAATATAGCTATTGCAAAATAAGTATCTGGCAATCAGTGATCGGGTTATACGTAACGTATGAGTACTGTACATCTGTTTTAGCTATAGTGTTTATGTTTCATACACCAACATGACTTGTTTTAGTCAATGACGTAATCGTAATGCCATTCTTTTTACATAT